TGAGGTGAATATTGCGAAAGGCGATGATTCCGATGATTCGTGTTTTTCTCTACTGATTACTCCGGAGGTGAACCATGTGGATGCATCAGATTGGATGCTTGATTCCGGCACTACTTTTCATGTGACCCCTAGGCAAGACTGATTTGCATCTTTTGAGAAAGTCGACGGGGGCGTTGTTGTCATGGGAAATGATCAATCCTGTGACGTTTGTGGGATAGGTACCGTGCGGATTAGGATGCACGATGGAGTAGTCCGTGAGTTGAAGGAGGTGAGATTTGTTCCTCAACTGAAGAAAAATCTTATCTCAGTTGGAGCTTTGGAGGCGAAGGGATTCAAGGTGACTTTCGAAAACGCTGTAGCGAAGGTTACTAAGGGATCATTGGTGGTGATGAGGGGAGTCCGCAATCGGAATTTGTATTATCTGAAGGGAAGCACCGAGATTGGCCAGGTTGCTTCGGCTATTTCAGAAGCGGACATGAGCAGACTTTGGCACTATAGGTTGGGGCACACAGGTAAAAAGTCACTGCAGGCATTGTGCAAGCAGGGGCTATTGAAGGGAGCCAAGAGTGGGAAGATTGAGTTCTGTGAGCACTGTGTTCTTGGCAAGAAGACGAAGGTGAAGTTCGGGACTGCCATTCATCAGACGAGGGATATCCTGGACTACGTGCACACGGGCACACAGGTGAAAAGTCACTACAGGCATTGTGCAAGCAGGGGCTATTGAAGGGAGCCAAGAGTGGGAAGATTGAGTTCTGTGAGCACTGTGTTCTTGGTAAGAAGACGAAGGTGAAGTTCGGGACTACCATTCATCAGACGAGGGGCATCCTGGACTATATGCACACAGACGTTTGGGGTCCCACCAAGACTGCATCACCTGGTGGTAGACATTGGTTCGTCACTTTTGTAGATGACTATTCTAGGCGTTGTTGGGTGTACACCATGACGAAGAAGAGTGAAGTCCTAGATTTGTTTATGGAGTGGAAGAAAAGATTGGAACTGCAGACTGGGAGAAAGATCAAGACGTTGCGATCCGACAACGGTGGTGAGTATACTTCTGACCCCTTTCAGCAGCTATGTCGAGACGAGGGCATAGAGAGACACTTCACAGTTAGTCATACACCGCAGCAAAATGGGGTGGCAGAGAGGTTGAATCGGTCTTTACTGGAGAAGATCCGATGCTTATTGTCGCAGAGTGGTTTGGAGAAGATCTTTTGGGCTGAGGCACTTACATATGCGAGCCACCTCATTAATAGGCTGCCTTCATCTGCGATTGAGGGGAAAACCCCTATGGAGATGTGGTCGGGAAAGCCAGCACATGACTATGACCAGCTCAAGGTATTCGGGTGCCCTGCATATTATCATGTTAGAACTGATAAATTGGAACCTCGAGCTAGGAAGGCCATATTTGTAGGATTCAAGCGTGGTGTCAAGGGATACAAGCTTTGGGATCCAGTTGATAAGAAGATTGTGCTGAGTAGGGACGTCACGTTTGATGAAGCTTCTATCTTGAAGCTTCCCAGCTCTCATCAGGTGGAGAGCGACCCGACGGAGGAGATATCGCAGGTGGTGGAGATCGATGCAGCTCCACATTGTCCAGATGGTACAGTATCCATGCAGGTGCCGACTGAGGTGACGCCAGGCGAGCACGACGATGACACGGAGGATACGAGTACAAATGTGCAGGATCAGGAACCGACGGCTCAGGTTCAGGATTCTATTGCGGCTAGGAGACAGAGGAGAAACATACAGATGCCAGCACGGTATGCCGACACAGTTGCGTATGCACTTCCGGTAGAGAGTATCGATGAGTTGGTGCCTACTATATTCAGAGAGGCCGAGCAGAGTTCGGAGGCTGATTCGTGGCAGGGGGCTATGCAGGAGGAGATGGAATCTCTTCATAAGAACGATACATGGGAGCTTGTTGAGCTTCCAAAGGGGCGGAAGGCAATTGGTTGCAAGTGGGTATACACGAAGAAGGAGGGCATTGAAGGCACTCCATTGAGGTTCAAAGCTAGGTTGGTTGCGAAGGGCTATGCACAGGAGGAAGGTATTGACTATAATGAGGTTTTCTCTCCGGTGGTGAAGCACTCTTCGATTCGGATTCTGCTAGCTTTGGTGGCACAGTATGGTTTGGAGTTAGATCAGTTGGATGTGAAGACGACATTTCTTAATGGTGATCTTGATGAAGAAATATATATGACTCAGCCATTGGGATTCTGAACTGCATGGAAGGAAAAATTAGTTTGTAGATTGAAGAAATCGCTATACGGTTTGAAACAGTCTCCTCGACAGTGGTATAGGCGATTCGATGATTTTATGATTGGTCATTCGTACACTCGGAGCCAGTTTGATCCTTGCGTATATTTTCGCAAGTTGAAAGGAGGTGTGTACATTTATTTGTTGCTCTATGTCGATGACATGTTGGTTGCCTCTATTTCCAGGTCGGCTATAGATAAATTGAAAGTTCAGCTATCAAATGAGTTTGAGATGAAAGACTTGGGTGAGGCGAAGCACATTCTAGGGATGGAGATCGGCAGAGACAAGAAGAAGGGCAGAATTTGTTTGACACAGGTGGCTTATTTGAAGAAGGTTCTACAGCGATTCCATGTTAGCATGGATACGAAGCCAGTTAGTGTACCATTGGGAGCCCATTTGAAGCTTTCAGCTGGTCTTTCACCGAAGTCAGTTGAAGATCGTGAGTTAATGTCGAAGACTCCATATGCGAGCGCGGTTGGGAGCTTAATGTACGCAATGGTATGTACGAGGCCAGATTTGTCATAGGCGGTAAGCATGGTATCGAGATACATGCACGATCTAGGAGTGGATCATCGGGACGCTGTGAAATGGATTTTGAGGTACATTCGAGGTACGCTCAATGTTGGTTTGGTTTATGAGCGGGACACTAAAGGTGAGCAGCTATGCATTGGCTATGTTGATTCGGATTATGCCGGGGATTTGGATAAGCGTCGGTCTATGACGGGGTATGTGTTCACTTTGACCCGTGCGCCGGTGTGTTGGAGATGCACCTTACAGTCTACGGTGGCTTTGTCTACGACGGAGGCAGAGTATATGGCAGTTACGGAGGCTGTGAATGAGGCTATTTGGCTTCGAGGACTTTTGGAAGAACTTGGTATATCGCAGCGATCCGTCACTATTCATTGTGATAGCATGAGTGCTATCTATTGGCGAAGAATCAGGTTTTTCATGCGCGGACGAAGCACATTGATGTTCGTTATCACTTCGTTCGAGATGTTCTTGAAGATGGCGATGTGGAGATTGTAAAAGTCCACACGAAGGATAATCCGGCAGATATGCTCACTAAGGTGGTTCCGAGCAACAAGTTTGATCATTGTCGAAACTTGTTGCATATTCGTGATTGTTGAGGCCGTTGGCGGCCATTTGGATGAACTACGTTTGGCTTGATTCCTTGGGCAAGAGGATACGTAGGCAGTCTTTCAGATGCATCCGGTTTGGATTAGTTGATGGGGGTGAGATCGTTTGGACTCTCGTTCGGGTTCTCGACTTGTTGTGGATTGAGTCTGTTGTCGTGAATTGTTTCACGACGTACTAGACACAACAAGTGGGATATTTGGTTGCTTTGATGTCGGCTCAGTTTTGAGAAAACTTCACCGATGTGGAGAATTGTGAGTGGGGAGTGGGGACCACGAGCCCACGTGCTGTGTCAATCACCGAGGAGGAGATTTGGTTTCCTTTCCGCGTGAAGAAGCCAAGCCGGCCCACCCGCTTTCTTTAAGAGCTGTCAGGCTATAAATAGGAACATAACCTGTTCCTAGGGTTCGGTGCAAGTCCAGGGATTTTTTCGGCTGGTCTTCTTTCGGCTGCGGATCAGAAGCAAAACAGCAGGAGAAAATTGGTTTTGGGTGCAAAAGATAAAGCAACAGCTTTTGTTAGGGTTTGTGCATCCTTTTGTGAGGGATTTGAGAGTTTGTTTGAGGGTTTAGTTTGAGAGTGATTGTAAACCTTATTTGTAATCTCTCCCTCTATTAGTAGATCTCCCCCCTCCTTGCCCCGTGGACGTAGGCAATTTGCCGAACCACGTAAAAATTGATTGTACTGCTTTTGTGTGATTTGTAATAGCTTTTAGGATCCCTCGACAGGTCAGTCCTAGAACTGATGAGAGGAAGAGCCGATATCTCACTTGGTTGAGATATCCGCTTCAGATTCTTGTCTCCTTAGTGAGACGGGAATTCTTATTGCGATCTGACTCTCTTGTTGTGCTGCCGAAGTGCTGCCGAAATTTCCGCTGCGCGCAACAAATACGTAGTAAAAATTTTTAGCTGCACTTACAGTTTTTCAAAGTATTCACTAGAAATCTAGAAATAAGAAAACTAGTTATGCATTTTTATATTTTTTCTTACAAATACTTAAATACTTCTTTTTACGAAGTTTTTTTTGTGACCTTTCTCACATAGGTTATGTTAGGATCATGGTTTTATTTCACATTTTTTTTTAACATAGGTATTTAGTTATTTTAAATCCATTGTTTCATATAGTTTATTGCACATCTCACTTCACTTGATTATACATATTACATTGTATCTTGCGCATGTGCACATACTTGTAAGTGATATGCCAATTTTGGAGAACAAATTTAAAATTGGTTCGCCTATTTCGAGAACAAATTTGTGTATTAAAGAAAATCGGTTCGCAAATAAATCGGGAATTGGTTTGTAGAAACCATACAACGGTTCGCGGGGGATCTAGGGAATCATGCTACTATGCATTTAATGATTAACTATCAAGGTTAGATTCTTGATAGTACAAACATGGCAGACCAAAAAGTAATTTTGCAGACCACATTGTAACTTTCTCTTATAAATAGACACAAACTGAGGGCATTAATACTGATGACAGTTCTTCATTATCGCCATTACTTTGAGCTCGACTTCAGCTACAACATGGCAACGTTCACACCTTTTCCTGAAAAAACCCCTTGTAATATGATGGTTAACTGTTGCATAATATTTGACCAGACTATAAAACCAACCAGCAAACCTATATAACTCAAAATCCACTTTTTTACCAACTTTTGTTTCCTCCTGCTCAACACTTCAAATGAGGTTGGCCTCCATTATGGTCTGCTGTAATAATATACATGTATATATCACTTTTAACCCAGAAACTATACCACAATACCAGCACTACTAATATATAAACTATAAACGACCATGAACATATCCCGTTTGGTGGAGCATGCAGAGAGTACAACAGTCTATAACCCTAATATCTCTTTCTTAATATAAAACCACCAACACTATTGAAATGGTGGAGGATATGAGGGCTGCCCAAAATAACCACCGTCTGGTCCATACTGGTAAGGGCTCGGAAATGAGGGAACCCCAACTACTGGAAAAGACGGCGATCCATAGCTAAAAGCGGTCGGCTGTAGTGGTGGAGGTCGAAAAGGCAGCGATGGAGGTTGATACATTGAATCTGAGTACAAGATAGGTGGAGGTGGGGGCGGTGGAGGATGCTGAGGTTGAGGCAAGAAACAAGGCACGCTGCTAAAGCTAGTGCTACTGTTCTTGTTGAGTCTTTGCCTCTTGCTAGCATCAGATTGACCAATGACTCCTTCAGAAGCTAAGGAGAACACATAGCTAATGTTGTGCCCTGAGATTTCCAGTCGGCTTTCTTCATTTGTAGTGTGCACTCCGTTTTCATGTTCTGGAGGAAACTCGGGAGGTGGCGGAGTTTCGCAATAGGTTGAAGCTGGCGGAGGAGGCGGTATCTCATCAAGATTATTTTCGAGCGGCGGCGGAGGTGGTGCTTGTCCAAGCAAGAGCCTTCCCAGTTGATCGTACCGTGACTGGGCAACCTTTTGAAAGGATAAAACAAGCAAAAAAGTAAAATAGTAAAAACACAAGCAAGGAAAATGTATGAATTTATGAAATGTATTTAAAAGATCACCAAATAGAGTAGAGCACTTGAAACAGATAAATATATGAATGAAAATCATGCACTCTACTCTCAAAATTATGGATCCTACTGAAGCCTATTAATAAGCTCCACCGAAAAAAAGAAAAAAAAACAATAACATAGCGAAGTTTTTTCCCCCTGAAAATCTTTTGATCTCTACTGCATGAATCATTTTTGCTTTTTTCCTATTGAACTCTGTTACTAACCGTCCTCTTGCTAGTTCACTAAACAATACATTTTTGCTGCCCCAATCCTGTTTGTTTTTATCAGGCCAGATCTCTTGCTGTTCCAGAGTAGGATGCAAACTTAAATTTCCACTGTGCATCACGCCGAAACTATCTCAAATCCCCTATTTCTCCTTGATTACAAATATTGGTAATGGAAGTGATGTGCCCAAACAATTACCTGGGATGATCAGTTCCACTATCCTATCCTTGACCAATGTGCAGAAGGCTATATACTGCAGCCATCAAGCCTCTCTGCAATTATGCAATAGACGTGAGTTCACGTCCTTGCTTCATGAAGCTTTGGTTAGCCTCAATTAAGGAATAGAAGTTCACAGGACTAGAACTGAGAAAATAAATCTATTCAAAGTTTGTAATATATAAATGTATGCCTCATCATCTGAAGTCACAGCATCAACAACAATAAGAATGGAGATGCTATATTGTCTCGAACAGAGAAGACCTAAGAAACGAGAATAGTGCACCATAAATGCAGCAGATGTGAAAACCTTAAGGCCATGTCGTAAACAAGGAAGGACCAAGCTGAGGAAGAGTATATTACAGAACAGTAACAGTTGAAGCAGCAATAAACAAATTCAGAGATAAATGTGTATATTAAACGGATTAGGAAATGGAGGTAAATTCTCTAGTTGCAGATAAAACAGATGGTTTGAAGGCAGATTATTTTTGTATCGGCACCACATAGCGCCCTAAGAAATAACTGGTGAAGGACCTTACAGAATGGACAGCCTTCACTTTTTTTATCAGCTTAAATACATAGACTTTATGGTCGAGTATAATAACAGTTGGCAACTAAGATGGCAACAAATTTGGACAATCTGAAGTTAAGTAGTAAAATTGGCGAGATGGATATAAGACAAGGATTCATCATCTATGTAGCACGGACACGGATCCGATACAGCCATCCGACACGCCGACACGAGGCAAATCCTAAAAAATACATAGGATACGTGTGTTCGACACGTGTGTCCGACACGGACACGACACGACACGGCTTCATGTTATGCGTGTCCGTGCTTCATAGTTCATTATCACTGATCAGATAGAATCTGTTTCTAGTTCGTCTTGATATATAGTTCCTGATCAGGTGGAACTAAAATACCAAAAAAGAAAATGATAAGAAACAGGAAAAGGGGCGCTTTCACTTCAAAATTTTATCATCACTGTGAATTTAACCCTTCAATGAACAGTGGTTATTTCATGAGATACCTAAACATGTTGTTGAGGATCAAAAAGGCAAACTTTACTCTAGTCATTCAGCTGTATTAGACAAACTAATACCCAATACATCTGAAAGATCGTCTGTCAACCATGCACCCAAGATCATGTATTATAGGCCCAAGAAAGATATCTAGAATCTCAAGTTATCAAACTGATATCATGGCTTTGGATGGACCTAAATACAGACTAATTAACAAAAGCAGACTCAGATTACCTGAAGAAATAAATTGAGACTTATTACATGCAAGCTAAGACAACATTGAAACATGCAGTGCTGTTTGATTATTGAGCTTGCAGGTCCAATCCTAAGTATTACCATCAATTCTTCTGCCTCAAAGGAGTAATAAAAAGATCGTGCATTATCCCAGAAAATACTTACTCAAAAAACAATATTAAATATATGCTAATATAACAAACTTGAGTAAGCCAACAGATAAAAAGTAGAAAATGTAGCATACCAGAAAAATGAAAACACTTGTATGCTTAACTCATTTAGGCCATAAATTAGGTTCATCAAAAAGGGTACCTGAAGTTGGTCTTAATTATAGGCCATAAATTAGTTTCATCAAAAAGGGTACCTGAAGTTCGTCTTGGAGTTGGTTAACCTTCAACTCCTGAAATCAGTATAATCAACCAGATTAGAAATATGTATATACACAACTAAAAACTAACACCCAAGACACTAACTTGCAAAAGTCGAGAAGAAAATGTAAGTAAATAGTGACCCACCTGCTCATTAAGTGCGTCTCTTAAATGGGTCACCAATGTCGACCTCGATGATTCAGCATTTTTCAACTGTTCTATACATTCTCTCAGTAGACCATGTTGCACCCACAACTCGTTAGCAACTCCAGATTCACTGATATTACCTATTCATCAATTCGTTTAAATTAACATGAAGTAATAAGCAACTATTATGCTCAAAATGCAGTGGCATAATAAAGGAAAAAAATGCTCATCTTTGACACAACGTAAGGATTGGTACTACACAAGAACCAATTCAACCAATTCAGTCACATGATATAACTTCACGGAAAGAGAGGATTTACTTTCAGACCCAAAAATAAAATAATATATGCATTTTATCACATCACAACTATAAAAAGATAAAACATTCAGTTGAACAGAATGTACTATTACTCTATGGGGAGATTATTATTACTAGTTAAAAAACATGAGAAATAATATATCTTAGATAATACTACTAAGAGAGACTCCCACAGTTATAAGTTGGCCCATCAACATAACTTGAATATCTTGCAAAGCATGTTGCATTATGAGAATATCCAGCTTGCAATAGATGATAAACTCTACACTTACCTAAGTTAACATCACTGCCGAACTCCTTTTCAATATTTTCAATTGAGCTAATAGCTGTCCAACATTTCCCAAAAATTTTATCCTCATCATAGTCATTATAAACATAATGATAACTTGCAGCGAGTTTTTCAAGCATATTTCTAGATGGTTGTTCCTGAAGATGGAAACAAGCAAAACACAAACTTCAGCAAACAAAGAAGGCATGCAAAGGGATATTGTACAAACTCATAGTCATTCACGGGTTCTTACCAGCTTATAACTTATACCATTTCCATTTCTCTTTCCCAAAAGGTCTTCCTTCAAGGTCTGCCCTTGAGGACTGAAGATATATACGTCATTCTTCCCCCATATGTCAACCTGGAGGGGGGGGTCGGGGCGTGGGCATCAAATTTGGTACACAAAATCAGTATATGATACATGTCAGACATATTTGAATGCAGAGAAAAGAATAAAAGGGTCTCTTTCTAGATATAAAGGGTAAGTAAATATTCCACTATGGATTCATTATATAAATTTATAGACAAAAAAATAATTTATTTCCTGAGTACGGAATCCCTTTTTTGAGTTTAACATTGAGCAGAAGTTGTCAAGGTGCAAAGTGATCTAAGAAGCAAACTAATCGGTATATGCTCTCAATTTAAGCAGCTAAAATACTCTTTGCATTTAAATAGACAAAACACAAAAGTTCTTCAGAATTAAAGTACTAGTGTTCATGCGTATGCTATCATGTGTCGTACTTTAAGTAATGCAACCTTCATATGTAAATCAAGTGGTGCTGTAACTTAAAAGTTATTTATTACAACACGCCAGATTATCTTCCAAAACAATATCAAGATTGAATTATCATACTCCTAAATCATATATAAAAAATGAACATCTAGGAACTTGCTGCTAAAAGGTTAGATATTATACAGTCTAATTAGGTTTGCTTAGCATGACATGTGACATGCAATAATATCAAAGAATATAAACCAAAAAACCTGAATATATAGAACAAGCAAAGGAAAAGTAGAGAGTAGACCTTAATGTCAGAATTCATAAATGTTGCATATGGCATAGCCAACAAATCATTGGGTAAAGAAATCAAATCTTTAAATTGTTAGATATATCAAACATCTTGATCCAGACATGAAATCCAAATTCAGTAATTAACCCGGTTTAAGAGATTACAGTGATCAGTTAAAAGGTCATTTTAAATGTTAAAGTGCGCACGCTCTGTTTTACCACTTATATGTGCGAGAAATTCAGTAGTGCGGTATCGCATGGTTAATTGGAATAGGAGTTCTGGCAGAGGAGGTTTCATATTTTGGGGAAGGAAAACCGTAATGCTATTACCAGAGGTCTTACATCAAGGTGTACACTTCATCCACAATGAGTATCAGGTATAACCTACTTATAAGCTATCACTGTTAACCTGACCACTCGACAGTATCCCCGCCCCCCCCAACCACCCCACACAACACAGACAACAAAAAGAAGAAGAATAAAGAAACAAAACAAACAATCAAACACACACAAAATCTCCATGAGATGATTCACTATTGCTTAATAGAACTAGAAATATCCATATAGAGCTTGTGGTAAATTGACACCAAGTATCAATCAAATAAGGGTTATTGAAGATAATAGAAACCTAATTCATTATGATATCTTCTTGGCTTTATATAGGCCCCTACAATCTTCAAATAAGTCCCTAATAATACTAATATGTCAACCTCTCCTCAAGATGGCGAAAGATATCTATTAAGCCCATCTTGTCACATCCTCTAATTCATATCTACTGAGTTGAGTCCTTTAGTCAGACAATCTTGCCCTGGTCTTAGTCGAAACATGACTTAGCTCCAGTATCCACTATCCAATCTCTTGATGTAAGAACCTATCGATCTCTCGATGTGTTTGTTCTATCATGTGCACTGGTTGTTGGCAATACTTATAGCTGACTTGTTGTCACACCATAATTCATCTTATCTCCTTGATCCAGTCTCAGCCTCCACCAGCATACTCTTCAACCATAGCAATCAGCAACTCCTAAGCGCATAGCTCTATACTCTGCCTCGGCCGTCGATCTCTCCCACCACTGACTGCTTCTTGCTCTTCCACGAGACTAAGTTACCTCCTATAAAGATGCAATATCCTGAGGTGACCTACCTGTCATCAGCACGCTACCCAGTCAGGTCGCAATAACCCCGATGTTCACATCACATTCTTCTGAATATCAGCCCTTTCCGGCGGGCACTCTTTAAATATCTCAGAATCTGAGGACACAGCGTCCATATGACCCTCCTCGCGATCTGCATGTAGCACCTCACCCGCTTACTGCCAAAGGAGATATCAGGACGTGTGGACTCAAATAGTCAGCCTTCCGCACCAACCTCTATATCTGTCACCATCACTGGCTTCTCCAGCCTCAGCACCTACTTGACCTCTGGCGATCGGCTTGTATTGGCAGGTTTGCCACCCTAACATTTCTGTTCTCTTTGCATAAGATCCAGCTGCCATTACTTCTCTGGTGATAGATGATCCCTTCCGCTCCCTCGAGCCTATTCTCTATTCAAAAAAGCTATTAAGCAGCCAAGATCTTCACCTCAAATTCCTTACCCAGTTCACTTATGGCCAATCCTCCTTCGCATCATCCCCCTGTAATACTCATAATCATCCACATATCCGCAACATCTAGTAAATCCTGGCCTCCACTCGTCGAATAAGAAAACACTGTGATGGTCGGCGTTATTGTCGTATCCTATACCAATCATAAGCCCTTCTCAATCTGCATCGAACCAAGCACGGGCGATTGCTTCAACCAATAGAGAGACTCTTCAATCTGCCCAGACCTTTCCCACTGTCTATCCTTGTACAAAAAACCTCCATGTGGTATCTCCATGTACTACTCCTCCACTAGATCTCCATGAAGAAATGCATTCCTTCACATCTAGTTGGCTGTCAGCTTTCCACTCCATCCATTTTACTGCCAGAGAGATTAAAGTCGACAGTGCTCATCTTCGCCATCCGGTCAAAGTTCATCTAATCTAATGCCATATGTCTGCACTATTACCCTTTGCCACCAGGCGAGCCTTTGAGTACCGCGCTCAACTTGTCCATCTTGGATTCTGCTTACAGTGAAGACCCACTTTGCATCCAACTGCCTCTCTTCCTTCTGTAATTTACTAGTCCCAATGCCGCGTTCTTCTCTAGAGGCCTTCCTAGCACTCTCGCAGTGCATAGCCCGCTTTCCATTTTCGGGTCCTTCTAGCCAAACCCTGAACAATTGTTAGTGTACATAGACAGCAGTCCAATGAGCAATGAATGCCTCCAATATCAGCGAGGTGGAACTTAGCATATAGTACATACTGGCGCAGATCCCAACCAATATCTACCGGGGATGTCCTCCGCATTACTGGAGTAGTCCTCCGTATGATATTTGGATGTGGACGATAGGCGAGAGGAGATGTTATCAGTAGCGCAATTTATCACCTTGGGATGAACAATTGGTGTGGTGTAGTATTTCAGGAGTCGGGTGGCGGGTTTTGCAAGAGACTTGGCCACGACACTCTAGGCACGTAGCGTACTGTTTTCCTCCAATGATTTGCCCTTCCCTACTATAGGTATAGCTCCCCTGAACGGGGCCTACACCTCTTTCTCTGTTCCTTTTCTTCTATTCTCCGCGCTCCTCTCCACCAAACTCCCTCCTCAACCAATTCGCGCTCCCAAGAATCGATAACAAGAAAGGATTCATCCACATTGCTTCCTCAGTCTCTCACCATTCTCCTCCTCTCGATCCATACTGTCTAGTATGGACAGCTTACCAGACAGATGAATTTACCTTCTGAGTGTAATATGCTCGAGTCTCTGAAAGTGCCACATCCTATGCTACAAACAACCTTTTTTCCACCTGGCCCTCCAGCAAACAATATCCCTTCTGAGAAAATAGCAGAATATCCACCAACAAATACACTTCACACTCTAGGGGCAAGTTCCGACAGGACGGCCTTTGTCCTTCACTAAACACACACCAGCAAAACACTTTCGAGTGGAGGCATCCACCATTATCTCCTTCAATATCTACACACGGAGACTATCCAATCAGCACTCTCTCGAGCGGCTATTCGTTTATCACGCGAAGGCCGGTCAATAACTGTCTTCCCCATAATGCTCTGGGACATTCATAGAGATCATCATGCTTACTACAACCTCTAAAAGATGTCTGTTTTCCTTTTTCGCTACCCATTCTGTGCTGGAGTGCTCATGGACCAGGTTTGTCTGTGCTATGTATTCCTGAGCCTGACAAATATTCTTCAAGGCTCTGTTGTATACCTGGTCCCATTATCTGACCTCAATACTTTCACCACTGCTCCGTATGTCTTGAACACTATATGCAACAATTTTGGAACACCCACCCCAACACATCACATCTTTATTTTTCACAGGTATAACCAAGTACACGAGAGAGAAGCAATCATTAAATGTAACAAAATATTGTATCATTCATAAACTTGTGGGACAAGGCCCCCAACATCTGAAAAAAAAAAAAAAAATATGTACCAGCTCAAATCGCATTGAGCAACTTCTACTGCCACGCAACTAACACTAAAGCTTCTAGTAAAGCTTTCCCATACTCACATGCATCACACACAAGTTTCTAGGTTTATTTCTTTCTCAATAAAGAAGGATACAATCTACCTAAAACACAATAGATGAAGTGGTCCCAAACGCTGTGTGATGGAGCCATAAACTCATTTTCAGCACTCATTTTAGATCCTACTCCTGCCTTACCCTCTATACTGTACCACCAATGCTGAATCCAGCCCTTCACCCGATCCAATACCACAGTCCACTACGCATCTGCCCAGTCCCAAGTCTCCCCCGATGCCCCTTCTCTGGAGAATTACCTTCCGGAATATCAAAAACGACGATGCATTTTAGTGGAGTCAATGATTGAAACATATAATACAAAGATTGGACTGGAAAAGAAGGAGCCATGCAAATCACATTGGACAAAGTACATGAACAGTCAATCGAGACTAGTCCCTTTACCAACCACCCGCTGAAATTACCCATCAGCTGTTTGAATACTATCAGCGCGGGCCCGCCGCGATGCTAAGTGAGTGATTATGATCGACGAATCACTAGCTTACCTTGTCACATGACGTTTAGGAGATGCACGAGTCGCTATCACTCTGCTATATCTGTCTGGGACATAGATGAAGAGGCATGTCATGTCATCCAGTACCTTTTGTTGCGTCATGAGCATACGGCAGCAGTTTGCCATCTGACGAAGAACGAAGTACGATGCTCTCCGCCAGTCCCATTCCCTCAAATCTCCATCCCCTTGCCTACTGGCTGTTTTTTCCTGAGTATCGTGAGGAGAGCACCGATCCTCGCTCTGTAAGACACCTCAGCTTCTTCTTCTTCTGCTACGTCAGATTTGCCGGATATCCCGCCTCTCTTCACCACCGTCTGCACCCCCACGCACGACCACGACCTCCAACGTCCCACGTCCACCGAATCTCCATCCTTGGATGGCTTTGCTGCTAAGCATGCCATAGATGAGCCACCGCACCGCAGTATAGCACTAGTCGGGTCTCTCCCTAGTATCCAGCACGTAGAGGCTCCAGTCCTGCTTCACCACAGAAGTCCACCTGTCCCCGACCTGCAGTACCTAATGCGAGTCTCCTCCTGATTATGAGCAGAGATAGCTCCTCAAGCTTGCGAATCTTCGCGCTAGAATAGGACCAATTGCAATTCGTGAGCGAAACTCTGAATTGTCAATCTTTAGAAACACGCATACGTACCTCTCTTGTAGATAAGGCCTCCCGCTCTTTACATCCCGGGTCTTGCAGCTAGCCGCGGGCAGAGAAAGGATCATATATTCCAGCACAGGGTTGCCAACTCGTAGCATATCCTGATACGTCCTTTCACCTGGCATTGGTCATCGCTCTTTATCTGTAATACCCTCAGGTTTATACCCCACTCATCCTATTCCTCCATCAACTTCCAAGACTTCCTTCACTTTCTCAAGGCCATCCACCTACGCGGCGCAATTGTCAAACAACCGAGTTGAGAAGCCAGAACACCAACATATGAGTGGACTTCCACTCATCTCTTCCCTCCGAGTCCTCTCCTGTATCTGTCGCCTCTCCTGATCAAGTAACCTCCATGTTCCTTCCTTTGCAAGGGTATTCTCACCCGCGCCGCCAGCTCAGGTTACGTACCAGGATCATCAAAGCTTATATCGATGGTCGGATTCTCATTTCTTCGAATGGTTTTGTTCGCCTCTCACAGCCAACAACTTATCAATTTCATCAAAGTTGTGATACCTCCGCCCAGGGTTCACTTCTTGATTGATTCGCACTCATCAAGCTTCCGAACCAACATTGTTCACTTTTTTCTTCAAACCCTTGTTGTGTGCACGTGAATTTCGGCAGTCACTTCTGCGCACACAAGGGTAATCTTCAACAACATTCTCGTGTTCTCAGACGAAACAGAACACAAAGACAGGTATATTATCCTCACTCGAATGTGAGTATATACTCTTCTTCCATCAGTTCAGGAACTGAAGTCGACGCGAACCATGTCAAATCTCGGTCCGACACCAGCGCATCAAGGGCCGAGCAGCACGTGCCGTAGATGGGTTGACGGTGCAGCGGCTAGATGGGGGGTCCTTGTGCTTGAGAGTCTGGCAGGGGGTTCCGTCTGGCAGGGGTAGTTTCCGAGTCTGGACTGGTCGGCGAGGGTGGATGTGCGGGGTCACGCTAGATGGGGGCCTGGTCTTGGAAGTCTGGACAGGGGGTCCGGTTGCAGGGGGGGTTCCGCATTTGTGGACAGGGGGGACCGGGGGGTCATGGATGGGGTTGGGGTCAGCGCTAAGATAAGGGGTCACAGAGGAAGTCAGGTCAGGGTTCAAGGAGATCAGGGGTCGGACGTGGGTTTAGGATACATGCAAGGGTTTTGACGGGATCTGAGGTGGTTGTTAACAGGGGGTCGGGGATCTCAGCGAAGCGTTAGAAGGGTGATCTCAGGCGGCAGTGTGAAAGGACGGGGAGCGGAGAAAAGGAGGGGTTTGGTGCTAACGTTTTGTGCTCTGATACTCCATGATATAAATATAAACCTAATTCATTATGATATCTCTTGGGCTTTATATAGGCCCCTACAAATCTTACAAATAAGTCCCTAATAATACTAATATGTCAACAGTTATCCTTATAGAGGGGTAATTATTATGAAACCCACTCATGTTACTTTTTCATTTCAACACCTCCTGCTGTTTAAAACAAGTAAAACTTGTTGTGCGCGACGCGGAAGCGGTCGAATCACACAATCCGAACAAAAGAGATCACAACCAAATAAACAAGCACAATCACCAAATAACACAAGAGATGTACGTGGTTCGGCAAGTTACCTACGTGCACGGGGTAAGGAGGGGGGAGATCTTACTATTAGAAATCAGAGAATACAAGTAGAGTTACAAATCTCTCAGATCAAACCCTAAAACAAAGCTCTTGATCTCTCTTAACTCTCCCACAATTGGATGCAACAATCCTCTCTCAAAGACTGCTCAAATTCGTCCTTGCTTAACCCTAAACAATCAGGTTTTGAGTTATATACAACTCAGAAACGAAACGGTCGACCGAGAGTAAAAACACTTACAGTCATCCGCGATGACCGCCAGCAGCTCCGAATCCTGGTAGTCTTCGTGCACGTTCGCGGTTGACCGCGGCGGTCGACCGCCAATCTGCCTGGCTGATTTCTTTGCTGTTTTCCTGTAATTCTTCAAAACTAATTAAATTATAACTTTTCTCTAAAAAAAAACCCTCAATAATGCTTCACTTCTTCCTCAATCTATTGCAAAACTCATCATCCCTCTATTCACATCAAACCCAAGTAACCACAGCCATTAACACAGAAAATTAACAGAAGATCAAGGTAATTTATTTAACCCTCCCTTTGATTTTAGCGTCTATTTTGTGTAACTTTCAGTTTCTAATATCTGTTTTGCCTTTGAGAGAAAGGCAAAATATGCCATGAGGAATAAGAAGAGAGAAGTTTTGGAATATAAATGATTTTTAACAGTTTTTTTAACAGTAGGGTGTTTTGTGATGAAAAAATAACGTTAGGGGGCTTCACAATAAACTTTCAAACTAGAAGGGGGTTTCACAATAATTGCCCTATTTAATATCAAATGCTTGAGCTTGGACAGAGACTCATACTCAAATTGATAAAAAAATAAAAATAAATCCAACAATAACACAAAGAAATCACACACCTCACTCGGTAGATGGGATGGGCTAGTTTAACATCAAATTCTCAGTCATGATTGTAAAAAATGGGCATAGTTTCCCACCGAATCATGTACAATCATGTGAAAGATGACGCGCGTACTTGGATCTCTACATGGATACAGATATGGACTAAAATCTCACAACATGCATCTACCAACCAGCTTGATATGGATCTGCATATCCATGTACAGCTGGCAAAGGATGCAAACACAAAAACTCAAACTTTCTCCAGTCCTAGTAGAAAGAATAGCAACATCGTCTAAGGACTCAGAAGAAAATATTGTGGTATGAGTGTCAGACTTATGGTAAAAAAACCAAGCTGAGCCAACAAAACATCAAGGCTACATGTTAGAACAGACTTTCGCTGCAACCTGTTAAGACCAGATACAGATTGGCAGGGTAGAGTTTTGGATTTATGTAGATATTACTCTCTGTAGTCTCCTAGGGACAATTTCAGCTATCATACACACCTCTTCCGGAAAACATTAAAATAAGTCAAATGCACCGATATAATCTGCAAGTATCAGTAGCCCCCATTTGACATATTGCTTAGCAGGAAGGCCAAAATTCGTTACTGGAAAAAAATTCTACATTCCACAAATTAGCAACACCATTTGACTTCATATCCATTTGATTCATTGATAGATGGCTTATCTTTTGCTGGAGATTGTCTATCCAGTCGCTCATACATGGAATGACAACCTAGCCTCATTCCATAACCTATTTGTTAGAATGTAACATCTTCCAAATATTTATATCAGAAAACTTGATATGAATTTTCAGTCAACAAAATTATGGATTGTGAAACTTCAGTGTTTGAAAGAGAACTTTATGCAAACTGATCCATATATTTGAATACTGGTTCGAATGCTGACCAGAAATCTTCTAGAGCTACAGAAAATATGCCCAAATAAATCAACAAAATCTACATGGAACGATCCCACAGCATAGAAGTTCACAAATCAAGTAACAAGGATCAAAGTAAATAGAGAGGTTAAAGATCAGAGACAAGAAAAAACCTTAAAAGTCATCGGCATTTAATGAAAAAAATAATGTTACCCCAAGGACTTCCCCAATAACCTAGGAAAGGATACCATGCTAAAAATAGGGGGAGCACACTAGATGAGGAATGACCCTTTTGTGGCTCCCGACATAGGATGGATACTTGGTGTAAAATCCCTTTAGAATAGATATCAGCTTAAGATAACCCTATGATAAGGTTGCGTAGCTACAATTTAAAATGTCAAGAGCGGTAGTATCAGGCAACAATGACTATTACTGCCTTTTCATGAAGGTTCCCCAGATCATCTCATTCCAAAAAAAACAGATCTGGGAACAGTTTTGCAGTAGTTTATCTGAAACCTTCAAAATTTGTGTATAATAGTGATTGTGCCCTTCGAACCTGAAGGAAAGGGAGTAAGATCTATAAGATAGCCCCGTCCACCAACACAGAAAAAAAAATTCTTTTTTTTTTGTTTTTTTTTTTTTGTTTTTTTTAGAGACCTGGTACATCATATCTCCTCTGGTGTTGAGGTTCCGGGGATCTCGAAGGATGATTCCCCTTACGACCGCCGCTTCTTTCTCTATTTTACTGTCCCCACTCACAAATTAGGGTTAGTGTTGTGGGAATGAATTTCTTTATCCGATTTGGACCTTGTTAACTTAAAATTATGAGGAATCTTCATATAAGCCCCTAAAAATTATAAATATACAATTTGAATAGTTTCTAATTCACAAACGAATTAAAAGGAATTTTTCATTTGGTCCACTATGGATAGTGAGAGGCAGGTAGTCAAACCAGATGCATTTTGTAGACACACGAGGAAACTCACTGCTTAAACCAAAAAGAAAAAGATCAATTAGGTGTGAATAAGTGAGGATTCTCAATTTAGCAAGTAGTTTAAATCTTACCTCCCTTAAAATAACTCAAAGAAAGAAGGATCCTACATGCATAAAAATACATAAGGTTCCTAAACCAAATGATTTATGACTATATTGTAGAAATTGGGAAATAGTCTATCACACGTCTCCATTAAATTTATATTCTACTGATTGAATCATCTTTGCCTCAATGAATTCTATCATTTGGAATCCTGAAATATTTGTCATTATTAGACCTCCATTCATGGCACAAGCTTGCACCATACAAATTGATAACCATACTAGCCTTAGAACCATCGAGAGCTTCACTTCTGAGAGATCCTGATCATCCCAATAAACACCTAGCTATATGATGTAGTTCTTTGTGATTACATATAAATAATTTTTTGCAAACTTTTGTTAGCTTAACCTATCCAACTCATCATTTTTGCATCTCTCTCTTGAACCTTCATAATGCTTCTTCCACAGGTGAGTAAAACAAATATCTCTAAGGGTTCTTCTTTCGTTTTTCTTTTTTCCTTTTCGTTAAACTTTAAGCTAATAAAAGGAAGTGATATGAACCATCAAATATAAGGAAAAACTTAACCACAATAAAAGAAACTATTGAATACTAGGCTTAAGGGGTTAGCTAAAATCTACTTCAAGGGGCCAATTAAAAAATAGGCAAGCAGTAGAAGAAACAGAAACTGACGGCAAGATAATGGTCCTAACAGACAACACATAAACCAAGAAAAAACATGGCTGAAGATTATACTCTTTGCTGGTAGATCCATAACTATAAAGCTTCAGGAGTTTATAAAATTATTACATATGCCATGACAGAGTAGAAAATGAACAAACAAGGACACATGTATATTTTTCCTTTACTAATGCATGAGGCAATTGAAAGGAATACCACTACTACATGTATGAAGCTGTTGGACGGTATAGATCTATCTTCAATAATGAACTACATAAGAAATTACCTAACTTGAAATAGGATAAAAAGCATGTAAACAAAAATTAATGCACTTCGATTCAAAATAGTGACAAATATGTCAACCACACAAATACAATTTTCACGTGCACAGGGATCACAATGCATGGAAAAGGTTGTACATGACTGCATTCAAGTGGGCTAGTATGAATTACAGCAACCAAATTATGCACAATAAAAGGAAATTGTTCACTTACCAGTCTGACAGCAGCTTTTCTCCCGAACTCATCACCATTATCAATCACATCACGAAGTGCATAGGGAATAACTTTCCAAAATTCGCCAACAAATTCCATACTCTTACGCCGGCTGTTCTGCAGAATATCATTTGCAAGATACAAAAAATACAACCGTTGATCTTTCGGAGAAGAATAAAATTGTCGCTCCCATGTCTCAACAACTTGTTTCGCGTTCCTCCTATGGAAGATACACCAATGTGATAGAGCTTCATTGTGTTAAGAATGTCATGAAGGATAAGCAAGAGCACACCCAAGGTCTAAAAGCTCTAACATAAGATGAGTGAATGCTTCCAAAACTACAATAAATATAGCCAAAATATATAAAACATGAAATAAGTGGTGTTGAGAACTTGAATTGCAGAAAAACAAAATGACTTCTTTCTTTAAAATAGGAAAGTGTGGTGTTAAGAGAGGGCGATAACCATAAAACTATGTAGGAAATCATAGAGAAAGTTGGTATTACGTCTCCTTTAAGGAAACATCATTAAATGTAGTTCCTCAACAATAGGCTTTCGGGAAGGAAGCTAACGAATTCAAACAAGAAAGGATAATCATATTTCTGAAACATCAATGCATAAAATGGAACCATACAAAACGTGATGTATTTATGCTAGCATTAGTTTAAGAATTTCAAAAAATTCAAATTCCTCTATTAACAATGACCATATTTTTGTCTATTTTTTGCTTGCATTTAACAATAATACATTGTTCCAGTGTGTTCCAGTGTATTTATTGAATTATCAACTAGTAATCAATGTCTAAAAAACTCTGTATAAGTATCATGTAACCAAACTACCTTCCATCTATATCAACAAGAATATCCTTTCTTCAATAACGATTCCATATTTTCATAAGAATTCATCTTCAACGTTTTATATAATCTTATCCATTTTTGCAACTGTACTTGATGATCATAAACTGATCATAAACTGAGTTATTGAATCCTTACTTCCTAACCATTTGAAAATTTAAAACTCTTCCCAATAAGTATCAAGCAAGCTACTTCTCGAGTAAATTCAAAAAAAAATATTTGTGTCTTCAATATAGACTCTACATCATCATAAATATATCTTTTGTATCTTCAATTTTTTGTACCGCCTTACCATCTTTTCACTTGTATTTAGCAATAATAAACTGAAGCTACAGAACTCCAAACTAAATCAATATCTAAAAATACATCCAAACACATATCACAATCAAGCTACTTGCCGCCTAAATCCACAAGAAATTTTTTTTACATCTTCAATTCTCTCCTTCCAAACACCCATCCATACTATATGTTAGTCCTCTATGAAAGGAACAATTTATTGTAGGCTATAGCTGCAATTTCGTGATAACAATGTCCAAATCCTCATGAATAAATATCTAACTAGACAACTGAAATGAATGAGGTCACTACCACCATAAGGTTCTTCTAAAGCAAAGTGCAAACTCTAAAAAACAGAAGATAGTTGTGAACTCGGTGAGAATATGCTCAAAATCATATGAACAACCTTTAAACTCTTTCCAACACCTCATACAATGTAAATTACTGTTTAGGTATGGATTAGTTGAGATGAATTAATGTGCTCATCTTCTCATATAGTTTAGTAAACCAACAAAATAGAATAAAGGGCAATAGAAACTAAAGGGCTCTTGCCAGGTATAGAAAATCATAATCATCCTGCTAAAAGACATATTCAGTAATATCGAAGGCATATGACTCACTGAGCCTCACTCGCTGGGCAGTGTGGGGAGGTGGCAAAGCTCGAAAATGCGAGACATTGCCTCATATTTTTGTCCTTTATCATTCCAATTGGGTCTTATACCCGATAATCCATATCCCAAAAAAGAAATGAACTAATTATGCATTTTTGGTAGCCTGATTGATGACCCTAGACGGTTCTCGTTTTTTCTGCCTCTCTCTCACGATGCGAGCTTTATTTATAAAATTTGGAGAGTGCAAGCGATTTTCCGTTATTTTTAGGTTGATTTTTGCGGAGCACACATAGGAAAATATAATATTTCTTTTGCTGTTCTTTTTTCCTCCCGTCCCTTTTTCTGTCGATTTCTGTATATTATCTTTTCTTGTCATTTCTTCTTTCCATCATGGTTTAATTCTTATATGCTTGTGAAAGAATTGGATCTTATACAATATACACAACCAAAGGCATACCCAAGTGATATGCTTGATTATACATTCACAAAAATGTGATTGTGGTGTGTGTCTCGCTTCCTTGAGAAGTGCACATCGCTTTGCACCTTGCAGTGGTGTACGTAAAGGGAATTTGTGCCCCGCAGTGTGTGTTGGGCCTTGACAACAGCAGATTAGCATGATAATGCATTGTGATGACCCTTGTACTAACATAGATAGTCATGATCAAGTAATGGTGACTTCTATACTAACCATCGCAGGACGAGCTCATGGCAATGAAAAGTTTGATCTATTTTGGAAAAATGCATTAGACTTCTCTTAGAACCGCTAACATATATTTAAAATTTATTATATTGCTAAAATAGACAATTGTTAGTTATCAAGCCAAATAAACTGCTGATAGCAGAACACTAATGGAGTTCTACCAGGTTCATCTATTAGTTTGACTGTCATGGAATGTGGAGAACTATTACACTTTGCAAATGCATTACATGTATAAGAGTTTGTAGGTTTTGGTAAAAACTAACAAATAATCATCGCCAACCAAAAAGGAAAATTCAATGGTAGCAACTCACCAACATGCAGCAAGTTGCAAAAGAAACTTCAAGAATATTAGTAATCTCATAATGGAATCTAAACAATGTGCATATGCAGATTTATTAAATGTGCCTAGCAACTCTTAAATTAACATAGGACTTTTTTCCATATTAGCTTATACTGAAATATGAGAAAGGATACTCTCAATGCTCTGCTGCGAACTGTTGAGCTTAGCAAGTTTATCAACCAAAATATGTGCATTAAAAGCCCCATCTCCATTCATTTTCGTTTTTCTTTGGTGTAGAACTCCTACAAACCTGTAATATGTAAGCCTACAATATTGATAGAAAACAGAGAAGTTAAGAGTGTCCTTGTACTTTAAGAAGGAAGAATACAAGGAAACTTTCAATTGTAAGAATTAAGATATGGAAGTCAAGCACGCAACATTCGAGTCATGAACTTTTCATGAGACATAATCAACATGACTATTCACACCGTCATTCTTTTGAAAACATATGTGACCTGCAAATAAGTCCCACAATATGAAAGGTTTCATTGAATAACCAGCTCGAGGACCTCTATCCCGTGTGTGTACGTGTTTGCAAAAGAGGAAAATAAACATTCAACAGAAATGTCCTGTCACAGACTGGAAAACATGTATTTTGCACACTTCTGTATGGTGGCAAAAGATGCAAGTCGAAGTAGACAGAAATGAGCATACGCTTCCACCCAATACAAAGTTATTTTTATTTTTGAAAGGTGGCTAAATAATATGGGTTTTCAATAAAGTTGCCAGGGCTAAAAGGTCCAAAAGCTTTCCCACCATTTACCTTAACGTTTTCCAAATCTTCGCATTATAATGAGAATGTACGGTTTTTATAAAATTTTGAGATCCCTAGGCTTTTGAATAAATCATGCAGATGAGCAAAGAACTAGTAATAAGGGTGTGTTATGGTCGTCGTTGCTTGTAGTTAGAGGGCTACAATTGCAAGCCAATTCAATAGCTGGAATCGATTTCCTTTTGCATCTCGACATATATTTGAAACACATTTTCAGCACCGAAAGGTGTAGTTGGAAGCTTGGAACTGCACTGAACGGAGCTCCAATTACAGCTTAAGAATCGTGCTAAAAGAGCCACAGTAGCATTTTGATTTAATGATATTTTTTGGTATCTCTCATTGTAGATATTGATAGAAAGTTAACTAATTAATATTTTAAATAAGGAGAAATTTTTTAAAGACCATTTTTAAAAAAAAAATTATTAGCAAAATCGATGCTTTTATAAATAAATTAGCAATATCGACCTCTTCTTGGTCATGTCATTACAGCTAGCCTAAAAGAGGTCGATTTTGCAAAATATAATCTTTAAAATACACATGATTAGTAATCCCGTGTATTTAGAGGCCGTTAATTACAAACCAACAGTCTTGTGTACCTTAAAAGAATCAGTTTAACCTGTGATTAGGGACAGGTAAGTATACACGGGACACGGGACTAGTAGTCCCGTGTATTTTAAAAACTAAAGTTTACAAAATCAACCTCTTTTTGGCCAGCTGTGATAACATGGCCAAAAAGAGGTCCATTTTGCAAATTAAACCTAAAAGATGTCAATTTTGCTCATAAAATTTAAAAAGGGTCTTTTTAAAAAAATATACTCCTTTAAATAATTATTTGATGTAGTCAGAAAACTAAGTTATCCAGACAACTGACTACCACACTAGGAATTGCATGACAGTGCTGACACTGAACATACATTACTTTCAATAACAAATACTCAAAGGGACCCTAAAACGCAACATGATTCGAGCATTCTTGCTATCATAGCCAATTCAATTGTGATAGTATAATCGATAAATCCACAAAAGGCAACTTCATGCTGATTACCATGCAATCATGTAAGCGTACTGCTACCGTTCTTCAAGCCCACAACCATGTTCTTCAAATGGAGAAGGTTCCCAACTACTTTCTCTAAGTTACATCACTATACTTTTTTTTTTAAAAGTTTGCGTAGATAAGAAAAGGAATACAACAAAGAACTTTGCAGGATAGAATAGACCTACTGTAAGTGATGTTTTAAAGTTTACGAGATTACCTGATCATCTAAAGCTTGGTCAAGTATTTAAAAAACTACAGTCAAAAGAGGAAGTCTTGGCCTGGGAAAAGATGACACGATCACTAAAGCAAGCTACAGCTTAAGAGAAAATTCTAACATAATGAAGTTCCATATCACCTAACAAATTATCATCTTTTCCTTCCCATCCAATAACAAAAAAACAAAGTTATAGTCAGAATTTTTTTTAACAAAGCCATAACAATAAAATTTTATCCGGCAAGGTTTTGTATGAACTTTATGCCATAACTATTGAATAAGGTGTCCATTTCCAGGATAGTCAACTGCATTACTTATGCCACTGCCAAGCTACCGTGTGCACTATACTTTTCCGCCCGAAAGAATGATTACCATATCCCAAGCCGTTGCAAATTCTTCTCTTGCCAAACTGAAGCCCAAATCGAAGGAGAAAGTTTACCAAATAAGTTCAAGCACAATATCAAGAAATGAGACCCAAAGAACTTCAAATTTTCAGATATTAAGTAAAATATTAGATAAAATCATATGACGTCGCGGTTAACCATCCACAAGCTCCTACTAGGACTTTCAGAGCCCAGTGAACCCCAACACCTCACTAAAACACACGTATCCTTTTCTCTCTTTGTCTGCAGTAAAGGACTGCCATTTACAGTAAAAACTACTAAAACAATTCTCGTTACATTTTCACTAAAAAGAGCAAAGCTCAAATTAAAGACGGAACCTTTCCAGCTTTTTCCCTCCCTGTTACAATCAAGAACAAACTCACAACACACCCATGATCAAAACAAACTTTTACAGCTCCACCAATAACATAACTTCACCTCTCAAAAACCAATCTTTAGCAAGCAATCAGAAACAGAACTCATCAAATGTCTCTGAGAATTACCTTATGATTGCAATGCAGCTAATGCAAGCGGTGAATTCGAAGCGGAGGACGACGGCGTCGATGCAACGATCCTCCTCCTCCTTCTCCTCTTTAGTCCAGAGAGCAAGAAAGAGTTTAGGGTTTCCCAAATTCTTCTCTCACTGAACAAAACAATTTTCGATAGAGCTCTGAATGGATCGATGTCAGAATTTAGGGGGAGAGAATGAGAATCCAGCATTAAATTCGCTCGCTTGTTTTATTTGGAAAGAAACACAGAGGAGAGGGAGGTAGCGCGTGAGGAGAGAGAAGGGGGCAGAGAGAGAGAGAGAGAGAGGGGTTTTCGCCCTTTTTTGTCTGGGTTTAGGGGGGGTTCTATTCCGGGAATGCCCCTCCAAGTTTGGACTTGGGACTGTTACTAGGGGTATTTTGGGAAGGATGTTGAGGCTTGTTGACACGTGGATGATGTGTGTGGGGGGGGTCTGACAAGCTGACTCGGACTCAGGTTGGACCTCGGTTCGGACGATGCAGAGATTTTGAAGTTGCGTTATTTCGTACTGGCCCCCCACATCTTCAATATTTTGATATTAGCCACCAAATTCTTTGAAATTGACGTCAGGCCCCCTAAATCTTTAATATTTCGTATTAACGCTCTAAATCTTTAAAATTGATCCTAGGCTTCCGAAAACCTATTAATATGTTGAAATAAGCCACTTAGTTAAGATCTAGTTAAAATAGGGGAATATTATGTTTAATGAATTAATTTTTTTAATGATTTGTCAATTATATTCCTCTCACAGCCCAAACTCTTTAATCACTTTAACTTATATTTATTAAGCTCTTCAAATCAGTTTAATAAAACCCTAAATCAAACTCATTTTAATTTATTTCATCTGTTCTGTCGTCTTCTTTAATGTCTTTTCTAACGGAAATCTATCCACTACAAATTTAGGATTATAGTTAAGGAGAGCTATCGGGGAAGACATTGGACAAGATGAAGTGGAAAATAGGTTTGGGTCATGATTTTATTAACGGATATAAGTTAAAGTGGTTAATGAGTTTGGGTTTGTGTGTAAGGGGTGTAACTGACAAAACACCAAAAAGTTTGAAGTAAACATAATATTCCCTCATTTCAACCATATTTTAATTAGGAGGACTTATTTGAACTTACTAACAAGATTTGGGGGGCTTGAGATCAATTTCAAAGATATGCAGTGCTAATATCAAAATATTGAAGATTTTGAAGACCTGAGAGTAATTTTAAAGATTTGGGGGGTGGGCTAATATCAAAACATTGAGAATTTTGAGAACAATGTTTATATATATATATATATATATATATATATATATATATATATCGCATGATATGAGAGCGTTCACTAATATATTTGTTATATTTAACAATCTAAAATGAGATCTTTAATATATTTGTTATATTTAACAATCTAAAATGAGATCTTTTGATCATCAAAATTAACATTATATCTATTAATCTTAGATCAAAACTATTTCAACTGTATGATCAACATATGTTGGAACATCATATATGTATTCAGATATTTTACTATATATTTATATCTATAATCATACTGCATTTGATATACATTTTAGTAATCACATTCGTATTCTAACAGCTACGAATATGAATATTTCCTCAAATACCCTTTTGTTTTTTTTGTTTTCTGTTTTTGTTTTTGTTTTTTTTGTTTTTTTGTTTGCAAACCTACTTGTGACTTCTCTTACACAAATTCAATTTAAAAAAGGGGTCTAGCATTAAAATCTAGTTTGGATGGGCTTATTTATGGAGGCTTTTATGTTATATTGGCTCTCATGGGATTTTTGATAGGATTTGATGGATTTTTGATGGATTTTTAAGCTATCTCAGCATTTGATTTTTGATAGGATAATTATTTTTTTTACTTTGTTAGACCTTAGTTTTGTAGGTAAGCTCAGAATTTAATTTGGAAAATCCTATTTTTAGCAATGTGCCTCTCAAATCATTCATATTTACAAATTTACCTTCAAATCTTGATATTTGCAAATATACCCCTCAATTCTTCACAATTGTAATTTTCTTTTCTCACGTATTATGTTATGGGAGATACTTGGTATATTCCCTAAAATTCAATAAAATTAAGAAAAAGAAATTAATGATGACTAATATATTCTTTCATAATTAATTAATCATACTTATATTCTTAATTAAAAGACAATTTTGCTTCCTCCATAGTCCCTAAAACTATCTACCATGAGGGCGTTGTTTGGTTAATTTCCTAGAAATTCCAAAAAAAATGGAAATGGGGCAAAGAAACCTCAAAAGAGGATTTCAAATGATTCTCAAAAAAGGATTTCAAATGATTTATTAGAATAATTACCGAAAAGGTATTTTTAAAACTAGGATTAAATCAACCAATGGGTCACCTCACCCTTTATTTTGGTTTCAAAGTGGTAATCAATCTAGAAAAAAGAAAGTTATTATAGGAAATATGTTTCCTGTAATACACTTTTCTAGCTTTTTAATAAACCAAACATGCCCTTAATTTCTTTTTCTCTTCTCTTATATCTTCTCCCTTTAAAGAAAGTTTTACTTCTCAATTTTCTGTAGAATCCAAGCTTCTCGAATCTCAATGTGTACCATAGAAGAGGGTGACACAAGAAAAGAGAGTAATGAGTCCAAAAGCTCGTTTTTTTGGTAGGGCTAAAGGGAGAGACCATTACTTGCTTACATGTGAGTCAATCCCAATGACATGTTCTTAACCCTAGGAGTTTCCAAGTCAACCAAAAGCTATTTTTTATGGACTTCTTAAATGAGAGGAGAGCTCTATCTTTCTCATTGAGGGTGTTGCAAAGCAAAAGAGAATTCCACATGAGAGAAGGCAAGAACAAAGCTAAAACCCTCATGTTTGAGCGTAGAAGAAAATGGTGGATCCTGAGGACAAAGGAGAGGAGTGAGGAGCATTTGGCTAATTGGGTGGGTGAGTGGGTGGGGGGTTGGGGGGGTATAAAGGTCAAGTCAGCAATGAAAATAATACTATTAATTTAAGACCAATGCGATAGAATTAGAGGGTAAAATATGTAGATTTGAAGGGTATATTTGTAAATTTAAGGGGCTTTGATCATCACCTTTTATTGCACATCTATACCCTTATTATCTATTTTATTTGAATAAATACCTCTATAATAATATTTTTTATCTTAATTTGCAAGTAATATAGAATTAATAAATAAGAGCTCAAATGAAGATTATTTCGAGTCCAAAAGATATCTAATGAAGTCCAGAATGCCTAAATAAAAAACTCACAGCTAAGTTTAGAAGCAAAATCTAAGAACTCATCACTTTCTTAGTCAATAATTATTAATAACTTGTCCTGCAATTGAGAATCAAATCAAATCTGAAAAAACAAAGTCAAATTCGTTCAGTATGGTCAACCACAAAAAATGCGATATATCCCAATTTAGAAAACAAAATACAATATTGTAGACGGTAAAAAGTACCTCTGTAAACTTGTAAGAAATTCGCCTGTAAGGGGAAGTCGTCCACACAATTCGCCAGCACGGGCCTAAGCCGCGCGGTCGCCAAACGCACTCGTGTCTATTTAGTCCCAGGTTCGCCTGAATGATCAGCTCGCCCGCACGAGTCAAGATCGACTAAATAACGGAAATTCGCCTTTGTTTTACATAACTCGCCTGACCGAGTCTAAAGTCGAATCTGCCTGCAAACCTCAAGGTCGCCAGTATAGCTGGATATCCGCTACCCCACGTACCGAGGCGGGCTTTCCCACCTCTCTTGACTTGAAGGGAGAAGGCACAGTACTCCAGGCCCGTCGAGTGGCCGCTCACAGTACGAGTGATCGGACATGTGCCAAATCAACCTAAACATTCATAAATGCAGCTCACCTCGCCCATCCGAGTCAAGAGCTGGATCTGCCGGCATTTGGCAAGCTATCCAAACCCACTCGGGTACTGGGCACCCGCTTTCCCACCTCTCTTGACCTGAAGGGAGAAGGCACAGTACTCCATGCCCGTCGAGTGGCCGCTCACAGTACGAGTGATCGGACAGACGTCAAATCAACCTGCGCGCTCATAAATGCAACTCAGCTCATCAGTCCAAGTCAAGAGCTGGATCCGCCGGCGCACAGTAAGCTGGCCAAATCCACTCGAGTAGTGGGCAGCCGCTGTCTCACATACGAGGATGGGTCTTCCCACTCCTACGTGACATGACGTGAAGCACAACCCATCGAATGACCGTTCGTAGTACAGAGGGGTGGTAAGACATCTCTCAACAGTACATGGTCATATCCTATGATTCAAGGAGTGACCACGTCATCTCTCCACCATTTAAGAACTTCTTCCAGCCACAAAGAAGAGGTTCAGAACTTCTTCCAGCCAAAAAGAAGAGGTTCAGCTTTTCTTCTAGCCACGAAGAAGAGGTTCAGCTGTTTTTAGCCGTTCAGCGATTTTCTCACAGTTGAATCAGCTAACTGAACCACTAGCTCTCGACTCCCAATCGGGTCGACGACAAGCTCTTTGCATAACCTTTGCACTGTAGCATCCCCTCTCAGTTCCGGGCCTTGATCTCCGCCGAACTCGGAGACCCGAACTCCATCAACCTGAGCTCCTACTGCATACTGAAGCTCTCCAGCAACTTCGGTCGAACCGTCCAAGGGAAGCATACTTGGCACGAGAATCGAGCGAAGCATCCTGTAGCTACTGAAAGTCACCACATTAAACAAGGAGGGCATTCCCTCCGCTTCTGTTGTAATTTTGATTTATTAGTTTGTAATAAGCTAATTCCCTCCGCTTCTGTTGTAATTTTGATTTATTAGTTTGTAATAAGCTATTCTTATTAATACAAACGAGTTTCCTATTTTCGGGAGATCAAAATTTACACCTACAGAAGATGGCGACCACAGTGGGAGGAGCTGTTTCTTCAACCGAAATGGTGGTAGCTCAGTTCGATGAAGTTGCTGTTGGGATGACTGTGGAGTCCCTAGAGATCGAGTTTGACCAAGCCAAGTACAAAGAGTACTTGTCTTCTTCCCCCTCTGGTGGCGATGCGTCCCGCAAACGCCACAGAGTCGTGCGCAGAGGCCGACCTCAAACGGCCAAAGCCTTCGAACCTGAGGGCTCTACCCGAGTCTCATCGAGGGAACCTGCTCCCTCAAAATCGATCAAGGTCAAGCCAGAGATCAAGAGCACGGGGTGAAGGCCTGCCAGATGGTTCGCCAAACGGCCCCTGCAGACGCCCGCCCAGGAAGAAACGCTGGTTCATTCCGGCACAGACTATACTACCACAGCCCACGCAGATGCTCTCCTCTCTAGAAGAGCTCGCCAACGGCGACGGCAGACA